TTCTGTTTCTTCTCATTTATAATTTTATCAACACGTCAATTTTTAGCTTCATTTCAACCAAAACTTATTACAATTTGGAGACGACATTTTCACTGAGCGGAGTCGCGTTGTTTAATTCCATCGTTATTGCCGTTGGTCTGGTGCTAATGTATAAAATCTTGCCAGAAACCGAAAATCGTTCGCTAGAGGACATCGAAATGCATTTCGCCGATAATTCGAAGAAATTCACCGACCGAAAAATTGCCATTTCAAAAAGGAATAATAAAGATGACTTATAAATTCTCCAAGTGAACATGAAAACAACACCATAATTAAGTCTGTACAAGAATTTTGACCGATTTTTTTAAAAAATTAATTAAATTAAAGAAACAATATCTCAAGCAAATGTATTAACGTTTTGTTTACAATTAAGAAGAACCAGAAGCACTATAAAATGCTTCTTTCTAGCTTAATCTTTAGATAATTTGGATACGTTGTATCAAAGTCACATATTTGCAGCATTAAATTTGATGTTTTGTCATTGAGATTTACGGTGCAACTTATGAAATTCGTCGGGAGAAACCACCAAATGAAATCATGTTTGTTTCATGAATAGATCCGATCACTTACCGTCCACCACATTCTCGGAAAGCAGAGTTTCCCCTTATTAATCAAAACAACCGAATTTATGCACGAAAAAAGGTAAAAAAGCAATAGATTTATTCATTTTAAAAGAGAAAGAAAGTCAGATGTCTTAAGCACAGCTAATTTCAAGCTGATAACAATTCGATTTGTCGTTATCGTCCCAATGAACGTGTTGAATGGTTTTTGGGCCGTGATTAACTTTTGTCAAACGAAATTTGTCGTTCAACTGAACAACGGAAAATACATTTTTCCAAATAACTTTGGTGGATTTCTGTGGATATTTCGGTGTGTCCTCTTTTGCAGTGTCCAAAAGATGATACTGAATATTTGTTGCATTTACGAAACCCAATTCATTGCATATATGTTTAAGTTCCACTTTTGATGGAGGATTTGGATGCGCTTTCCATAAGCATTTTGTCTGCCATTCGCCAGCCGATCGCTCAATAACACGGTAATATCCGCTGAAAAAAGAGAGAACAAAAATCAAATGCCCTTCAATTTGATGCTACTTCACGCTTTGCTCACCTGTTTTCATATCCTTCTTCAACGCCATGACAAGATTGCTCGTCTTCGCCACTGGGACAGTCGGATTGTCCATCACAGACAAACTGAGGCGGAACACACATGCCGGAACTGTTTGGAGAGAGAAAATCAAAATAATTTTTTCTTCGTTTCAAAATCGAAATTAGTTGCAAACTTACTCTCCGCATCGGAAACTCTCTCGTCGACATGGGCAATTCAGGTTCTCATCCGACTTATCATGGCAGTCGGGAATTCCATTACAAATTTTCCGTGGATCTGTTAATCTATCAATGTACGAGTTGTCAATGAATGTCTTGAAAAAAAATGGATTTGTCTTGTTGAACTCACTCGAAATATTGGAAACAAGTGCATCCCTTTGGTTCATCACTGAGATCTTTACAGTCTGCCACTCGATCGCAAAACTTTGTTTTGGACACGCAGGTGCCGTCGCCACATTGCAGTTCTTGTGGTGTACATTTCTTCTTTTTCCGGCACAATTCTTCGTGTTCATCGCTGCCGTCTACGCAGTCGGGCGTTTTGTCACAAACTCTTTCATTGCTAATGCATTCGCCCAATGGGCAACGGTGGCCTGAGCAGGCTGGCATCTCTTTTTTATACGAACACAATGGCCAATCTGAAAATCAATTAGTTATTAACTTTGGTTGTATTTTAAGCCTTTTTTGTGGAATTTCCTTTGAAAGAGAAAGTATTCTTACTCAAAATCGATTCAATGCTTCGGTAACTATATTCCAGTGGCTGAATTTGTGTCAAATTATTAAAGGTGCATAGCCCGTCATCGTGTGAGAAAATTGAAATCGGATAGTATGTGTTATTTTGTTCTGATCGACAAACAACTAATCCGTATTTGGATGCATCTGAAATGGATTGAATTTGATTGAAATGAGTGTCTCTTCACAGCATGAAAAAAGTAATGAAGACACATACCAAATCCATCGCATTTTATATTTTCAATCAGTTCTTCGGTTTGGTAGCAATTGCTTTGTTCATCTGGACAATCGGTCTCATTTCGTACGATTGGAATACTGACAAAACCTCCAGTCGGCCCATGCGTAATGGCAGCACAATCCTCATCATTTTTATCGATGCTAAATTCAAAGAAAATGTCACGATAAAATATTGATTTTTTTTTCTCTCTCTCAACATTTTCAGGATGATAATTACCGTGGCGATAAAAACGTTGGCAACGTGTATCGATCAAATTTCGGTGAATTGGCTAAATGCAATAAAATTGCGGAAGTCGAATTGTGCAAGGCGCGAACACAATCGACACGAATTATCTGCTCGGTTAGCGTTAAAACGTTGGGTGGACTCTTCGAATGTCCTAAAATAACATTGATTACATGTTGGTCCAAACTATAATTGTAAAAAAAATTGAAAAGAAAAAAATGATGAAAGAAAATAAAAATGGCGAAAAATACAATTATTTTGGAAATTTTTCGATTCTTTTAGAAAATTCCACTGTTTTTCAAATAAAAATGCCATACTTGACCGAATCGATGACTGTTTTCTCGCTCAACACCCAATACCGATCCAGTAAAACGCCAATGCTTGATAAATCGCCATCAATGAAAATACTTGCAATCCATGGTGCACTGAAGTTGTCAACAATTATGTCCTCTTGTGTATCATTTGCCGGAATCGGAACAATAATATTTGGCACTTTTTCGGGTTGTATGACCGGTTCAATTGGTTTCGATTGTTGTGGTTCCGTTGGGTGTGCCGTTGGTTTCGGTGTTGTCACAGGTGTAATTGTTGATGTTGGTGGTGATGTTTTGTTATCACTTGGTAAGAGCTCGCCTGGGGTTGGATTTATAATTGGCATCACCATATGTGGAACACATTGGATCGATAACGCAAAGCATTCACGCGGTGCCCCAACAATAATATCGGACATGTTAAGATCATCATCGTCTTGTGACGCATGCAAAAATTTATTGATGTCTAAGCTTCTTTTGAACATGAATCGAGGCATTGAATGACGATCAAAAACTGTTTGCCTGAAAAAACCAAAAATGTTCAAGAAATTCAACAAAAAATGACATTTATTCCAAATAAATTTACCGCATAAAGTTAACTCGGTGATTGTGATCTCTCGGCTTTGGTTTAAAGTCACCGTCTTTATTGACCATGATGACATTGTGCGAAACATATCCGCTAAAACCTAGAAGTGTACACGTTTCGCCAGCCAATTCAGAGTTTTTCTGAGGTTCCATTCGTCGGACGCATCGCACCGACCATCTGCCATTCGCATTTTCACATAAAACTCCCTCATGTCTTAAGGCTGGTTTCAATTCGGCATCCATTAAGACCACTTTACCATCGGTCAAAGCAACTGGAAAGAAGAAAGAAAAAATGTAAAAATTCGAATATATTTGAAACATTCAAATGATCACTTACTGCATTCCTGCTCGTCTTCGCCAAATTTACAATCCTCGTGTCCGTCACACTGCTGATCTTTTGGAATGCACTGTTTTGATTTTCGACATTCGAATTCATCTTTCTTGCACAAAGAACAACCTTTTTCGTCGGAGAGATCCAAACAATCGACATGCTTGTCGCAAATCAAATGAGCATAACCATTCTGAAAATGAACAATTCGAATTGATTAATGATAAAATATAAACAATTTTCACTCATTTTTACTCCTCACTTTCAATATATCCCGACAAGAACAGTTTTGTTCATCGGTGCCGTCTTCACAGTCATCGTTTCTATCGCATCGCATTGCAATGTCTATCGTTTGGGTAATGCTAAATATAAAAAATAATTATTTAAAACCACAAAAAAAGTTAAAATTCATCAAAATCACTCACTTTTTACATATGAAAATGTTGGCGCCTTCTTTAGCTTCAGGGATTATAAATCCTTCTGTAGTCGTTTCAAGCGTGCCGTTTCGTAAATCGGTTGCTTTCGTTGGGCCCAGGTCTTCTTGATCAAATACCGATGGACCTGAATCGGCTGGCTTTTCAATTGAACTTGAATGTTTCGGACTCTTTGTAGTCGTCACAAGGGGAACAGGGGTTGATGTGATGTTTATATCTTCAGTAGTTGTTTTGCGTTTCGTTTTTACTGAAGGAAGGGTGGTATTCAATTTTTCTGGGTGATTAGCAACCGTTGTAGTTGCAGTAGGTGTGTCAGTTACTGGAGTGATTGGAAGAACCGGTTCAATGGGTTCTGTTGTTGTAGAAATCGGTCCCACGGTGACAGGTGGTTCCGTTGTCGTCAGAATCGGCGCTACAGTGATAGGTACTGACGCAGTCGTAGCGATAGGTTTTACGGTGACAGGTGCTTCGGTGATTAACGCTTCTGTTGTCGAAGGAATGGGCTTCACGGTCACACGTGCTTCCGTTGTCGTACGAATCGGCGCTACAGTGACAGGTGCTGACGCAATCGTAGCGATAGGTTTTACGGTGACAGGTGCTTCGGTGATTAACGCTTCTGTTGTTGAAGGAATGGGTTTCACGGTCACACGTGCTTCCGTTGTCGTGCGAAGCGGCGCTACAGTGACAGGTGCTGACGTAGTCGTAGCAACCGGTTTCACAGTGTCAGGTGCTTCGGTTGTTAATACTTCTGTTGTCGAAGCGATCGGCCTCACGGCGGCAGATGCTTCTGTAGTTGTAGCGACAGTGGCTGGAGCTTTTGTGCTTGATTTCTTTTTCTGATCAAGTTGACCACGTGGTATATCTGAATTTCCGCCGCCTTCAGGAAGTTCATGGTCATCGGTTTTCTCTCTGCCAACTCTCTTCCTCGGTCTACCACCCGGGTGGAATGCACAATTCAATTCATCTTCGCCATTCAAACAATCGACTTGACCGTTACAAACAAATTCCTTTGAAATGCAGCGACCACTCCAAACACACGTGAAACCAGGACATTCACGTTTTGTAAAAGCGGCGGTTGTTCGAAGATCTGAATTGATCATTGTATTGACCCAGTCAATATACAAGGCGACACGTGTATAAACACCAGGTTCATTGCGTCGAGCACATCCCTCACCATGACTTACAATACCAGCAAGATAAAATTCGTTTGGATCCAAATTACTTCGGCATATTAATGGTCCTCCACTGTCGCCCTGACAAGCATCGTGGCCACCATCTTTTTCACCAGCACAAATCTCATTGCCACTGATGTCAACTGATGTCTTACAATTCTTCATTATTGGTACATTCACTTCTTCCAAATTGTCGGCTTAATACAAAAAAAAATATGAAAAGATGAGAAACAATTCAGTAGAAAGATAATCATCCAAACTTACGACTCGATCCACCCTCGGATAATGCACCCCAGCCAACCTTCAAAAAGTCCACACATGAGTTAGAATAAATATTTCAAAACCAGAAATGTTAGAAATCAAAATAATGCTTACAACAGTACAAGTGGTTCCCGGCGGTGGTCCGTCCATCCAATTCGGATCCATTTGATTGGTAACTCGTTCAGGAGATGGTAAACAAATTGGTCGTATCCATCGATTGAAATTCAATGGCTTTTCCATGCGGAACAGTGAGACATCGTTCAACATTTCTGGATGTTAAAAATGCATTTTTTTTTCATCAGTTAATTGAATGGGATGGGAAAATTATTGAAAAAAAAAATGAGATTACCAAATCGATCAAAACCATCATTCACAATAACAGCATCAACCTTTCGGATTTGAACCTCGGGCGCAAAACTATACCGACGAAGCAAACCGGCATGCACTTCATAGTAATTTCTACCCGCTTTCATCGCACAATGAGCAGCCGAAAGGATCTATTCAGAAGAACAGTTTTTTTTAATCAAACTTTTCAAATTTGCGGTGGATTTAAAATAATAAATCAGAAAAATTCCAAATAATAAATTACCCAAAACTCGTTGAAAACCGTACCACCACAATGGAACTTTCCGTCTTTGTAAATGGCAACAATGTATGGCCAACTATGGGGTCCAGATCGGTCTCCGCCAACGATTCGTAGATATTCATCACGTTTGTGGCGCTCATTTTCATTTCGAATACGAAGATTCGGTAGATTCGACAACGGTTTTTTAATGCTACCACATTTCATCGGTGGACACTTGACTCGAATATGAATATCTCGTCCTTTTTGAGTGGGACAAGTATCCGAAAAGCGAATCCGATTCGATAAATGTTCCCTCTCATCGTGCGAAGACAATGAAATAAATTTGCCCGGCAATAGGCCCAAATGACTTTGAACTTCTGGAAATCTGGAAAATATGCGCGTTTTTTTTTTAAATAAATGAAGTAATCTTAAGAAATGTGAACAATTTACCCGGACAGTTCACCCATTTCGGATTCGCATGCGTCTTTGGCCCAATTCAAGGAATACTCACACACCGGATACCAACGTCCTCGGTAGTTTCGATATAAAACACCTTCGGTGTTCGGCACCATAAACGACTACAACCAAAAAGCAACGAAATCAGTATGAAAAATGATTAAAATTTGTCCTCTTCACATACCGTATGCAATCCAATGTGCTTGATAAGCATTGAACAATCCTCTTCGTCCTTTCCGTTCAAACAATCTGTGAAACCATCGCTGGAAAAATTGTTTTTTTTGTTTGTTATTTGAACCAAATTTGAATGAAAAAGACTTTTTTACCATTTCTGATCCAAAGTGAAACACATGGCGCCCAATGCGGTTTTCGAGTGTTGATAGTCGTCAGCATTGTTGTAGCACGAATATGAGTGTTTGTTGCAGCCAAAACATCCAATTTCATCGGCACCCAAAGGACAATCCAAATATCCGTCACAAATTTTATCGGAATTCAAGCGAGACACACATGAACACGATGTTTCATCGCTGGCGTCCAAGCAATCAACCACACCGTCACACCATTTTTCATTTATAACACATTGATGCGAATTTATACATGATGTTTCACCTTCTTTGCATGTATTAAACGGACTTATGGTGTTGTTCGGCACCATTTGATTCAGAAACGATATAAATGGTTGTCCGGAACCTATTTGATAGAGATTGAGAACATTAGAATTCCAAATCGAATGTTAATATCGAAAGAAAAACACAAACTCTGTTTGGCACTTTTTAGTTTCGACGATATTTTTGTGGTATTTTGAAATTGGTGCTTCGCTGAATGTGGACAATCATCCGATTCATCGGCTGGCGATTCGGATCGGGCTTGAAGTGGCGGACTTACGAGCTGAACAAAACTACGAAAGGAGATTCAAGGTGAAAAATATATTCGGTTTGATTTGTTTTATTCACTCACCCCATACCACTCGGTGACGTGGTTGCGAATTGCTGCGTATTTGAATTAACCAAAATAACTCCTGGAAAGGTAAAAAAAAAAACTGAAATAAAATTGTCTTAACTTTTTTTTTGATCGGAAAATCTTACGATTCGCACCGCCACCTGTAACCGGTGAAATAAACTGTTGCTGCGGCGCTATGAACTGTTGTTGGGGTAAAAACATACTTTGGCCAACTGGTACGGTCTGCACTGATTGTAGATGCTGGCAATGTGGGAACATGCATACGGGAGTCGAAATTGGATTGGAACGCACAAATACTGGCCCAACAGCTATCAAATCAATTCAGACGATATCAATGAATTAATGAATTCGGGAAAAAAGTGTTCTAATTAATGCAACTAAATGTTGTTGTTCGCACCAAAAAAATAAATAATAAATATTTGAAACCAAATTTGCAATTTCTCAGCACATTCATTGAATAACGCAATTATGCAACAATAACAAATTTAAATTGGATCGTCAATCGAAAGGTCAACATACCACCTATGGGACTAAATTGTTGCTGTATTTGCTGCTGCGGTTGCAGTTTTTGCTGCGGTTGCTGCTGTTGTTGTGGTGGTGATGGGAAATTTTGATTTGTATTTGGTATTTGGTTTTGGAAATTCTGGTTATTATAAGGTTGAACGTTGTTCGTGACAAATCCGCTTGATGTGGGTCCAGGCAAATTGCCGCCTGAAGCCGATTGATCCGAGTGTGCATTTTGACTACGGATTAACTGTTCACACAACTGCATAATTTGACCATTTTGGTCTATGTATGATAAAAAAGATTAATAAAAATATTTCGGACTCAGTGTTTCGTTAAAATTTGCGATCCGACGCTAAAAGACTATCTTTCCTTGAGATTTTTTGTTTTTATAAATTGTTAAAAATTAAGCCTTCTTCTGGATTAAAACTGTCAAACACTTACCACCAACATTTAGATTTTTCAGCTGATTGATTTTCTCATTATCACGAAACGTAGCATGTGATGATTGTAAGCGACTTGGATGAAAATTCGGAGCTAACAAACGATCCGGTGCTGGTGGTCTTGGCATTTTTTGTGGTGATTTTGGTGTATCATCAACATTCCATAAATTCATTCGTTTTTTATCTAATTCTTCATGAATGCGTGGAAAATGTGTAAACGATTTCATATTATGTGGCACTTTTTCTTCTTGATTCACTTCATTAAGAGGTTCTCCAACTGGTTCCGGCCACGGCGGCAATGGTAATTCGCGCTGAACAATTTCTTGATGAACGGTTTGAAAATCTTGATCACCTTCACCGAGCGTTTTAATCTCGTGATTAATCGCTTCACTTATTTTAACCATTTCATTGAAATATTTGTCACATTCACGTTTGTCGGCACTGGACTTTTTACAGAGCTGATATTGCACTTTTAACTGTTGTAAATTTTCGGTCAATCGTTTTGTTCTTAAACCTTTTTGTTGCACGGGTATTTCGAAGTGGACGGGATCAACCGACGAAAATCGCTTTTGACGGTGTCCAAATTCACTTCTTTGGCCATCGAATTTACGCACTTGATTGACATTATTGAAGTCAACTTTTTCAATCGTCGATCTTTTAAGACGCTCTTTTGTTTCAACCATTTCAACATTGTTCAGTAAGAAAAACAGCACTAGCACAAAACAAATGCACAAACTTCCAATGATGAATAAAATTCGCTTCGTTCCTGCCGATCGAACGTTGCATATTAGCAACTGCTCGTTATCTATTTTTAAGAAAGAAACAAACAGAAATTTGAGAAGGAAAATCGTTGAAAAAGAAAAACACTTTTGAAAGACTTTAAAAATTTGGACAAAACTTTCAAAAAATCTCGAATTTAATCCAAAAATCACCAAAGAAAGGAAAAAATATTCAATTTAATAACGAAAAAAAAAAATTACCATTTGATTGAGACGCTTTCATTATTTCTGTCTCTATCACTGTTAATTTAATGAATTGGCACCGATCACCAAAGTAAATGTTAAATCGTCACTGGTTTTGAAGCAAATGTGAAGCCTATCAAGTTGCAGATTATTAATTAAACCATAATTCCTCGTATTTTTGTGCTGCATCAGCAAATGTGACTCGAAGCAAACATTTGAAAAGTAAGAAACCAAAGTAACATGACACTTTTGATTACGCGTCAATAATGCTGATTGCAAAAATGTTTGAATACACAAATCACTTTTTTTCTTTGAACAATTCCAAAGTTTATGTTCATATTGATTTGCTTGGAATTTTTAGGCCACTGATAGCCAATGCATACGTAAAGCAAAACAAGTGATCGTTTTTATTTTGAAAAGTGCACGCACTCAAAACCCAATTCGATTTTGATGCGTGTTACAGTCTTTGGACTTCTTTTTATTGCGTTGATAATGGCTTTTTTTTGGGGCAATTCATAAAGTAACCCAAAAATGCATTCCAAAAAAAGTATAAATTTCGGAAAGACAAGACAATGCGAGAAAAAATCACATCATGTGCTCAGGCATGGCATCAAATTCTTCGCCGTAAAAAGTGATTCGCAGAAGCACCGATTGCGAGTATGTACAGTACTACTCAAAAGTTTTAGAACAAAAATAAAAAAATACATTTTTTTCGATATATTACATCATTTATTAACAAAAACCTTCGTTTATTTGCTTTAATTTTTGTAATTATATAGCAACGTTAAACGTATAAAATTAATGCAAATAAACAAATGTTTGTTAATGAATGATATATAAAAAAATGTATTTTTGTATTTTGTTCTAATATTTTTGAGCAGTACTGTACGAATTGACATTTGAGTAAATTTATATGAATGAACATCGAAATAGAGCGAGCGATATCTTTTGTTCTGCATTTTTCCTTTCATAAATTCAATCGTATCCAAATGAAACCAGTAAGCTCATTAATTTAAATAAATTGTCTGCAATTGGATCGTCTGCTTTATTTTGTGTTAAATCGATCAAATTTCAAAACAATGTTTGTCTTTATTTTGTATGAAAAAAAAAAAGTTATTTTGAATATATATAAATAGTGGTATATGTGTGTTATCAAGAGTCAACAAATGACAATTTTTATTGTGTGAACGCATTCACCATTCTATTACCTTAGGTCATTGGCATATATATATATATATATATATATATAACAAACGAAATGTTTGAGAAAATCTCCAAACAAATGTTGAAAAAAAAAACTTGTCGTTACTATCTAAAAAAATCTATAAAAATTGCATATTTTCTGTTTCTAAACTGTCTTAAACTATCTAACTTGAAAAGTTAAAAAAAATCCATAATTATCACAGCTATGTTAATTATTCGGTTTAAATTGTTCGTCAATGCCAACAATTGAACTGGATCTCGTTGGCATTTCATTGCTTTCTTTTACGTTCGCATCTGGATACATCTGGTCAATTTTACGATCGGTTATTTTCTTCGAATTGTCCGCAAAATGCATTTCAATGTCCTCCAATGTGCGATTTTCAGTTTCCGGCAATATTTTGTACATCGATATCAAACCAAATACAATCATAATGCAGTTGAACAAAGCTACGCCCGGCATGGATAGCGTTGTGTCCAAACTATAGAACGTTTTTGTTGAAACGAAGCTAAGCACATAGCTCAATGCAGCAGTAAGTCCTGTGGCCATTCCACGCGTTCTTGAAATTATATAAAAATTGTAATAAAAAGTTGACATTTTGAAAAAAGTTCGAGTAACACATTGAAGGTCAAAAGAACGGGAAAAAAGGCCGATTTTTTTTATTAACTTACTTGTATGGAAACACTTCCGAAATCATTTGCCTGCAAGAAGCGAAAAAAACGAATTTTAAATGAAACTTGAAAGTGACACAAACAGTAAATGTGAAATATCATAAAAATAAAACTGAAAAAAACTGACCATGGCATCGCGTTTATACCACAATACATGCAGAAATTGGTGACTATGATGCAGAAAAACGGTATGTAACCAAGTGTTTTGTTTTCTAATGCAAAGTTTGGAGTAAGATCCGGAAACGAAGTGTATCCATTTGGCAAGATTAAAAATCCATATGCGCAAAGTGTCACGGCACTCAAAAGCAGCAGTGTCATCATTGTTAAGTACAGATATCGCTTTCCAGTGAAACGAATCAAACACAAAAATGAAATATTGCCCAGGTTATTGACATATGACAGCACAGCCGCCGCTTGATCAGGTTCCATTGGTACATTGTAGGCTTTCAAAATTTGTACAATATACGATGACATGCTGAAAGTTGACACAAATGATGATATAACGAACAGGATCATCACAATGGTAAACGGCTTGAGTGTTGGTTTTCGCTTTAATTCTTGAAGTCTTTCGTAGAATGTTGGCAATGGATGACTACATTTTAGATCTTTTTTGATACACACTTCGCACGACTTGTAACGTTCGCTGTAGCGTTGTAGCTCTTGGAACTCTTGATTCACCGATTCTTTGTGAACCCAGCCACGCAACCACCGAAGACTTTTCAATGCGTCTTCTTGGCGGTTTCTGGAAAGTAGCCAGAGTGGAGTTTCGGGCACTATACTAAGCGCGATTGTTGTAAATATTGGGACAATCATACAAACAAGACCCACCTTCGGAACAGAATAAAGAGAAAAGAATAAAATTGCTTTCTTTGTAATATAACGTAAAATAATCTACCATCCGCCAAGGCATCAATGTGTTCAAAGTGGCAACCAAAATCATTCCAAGTGACCAACCAACGTGTGTGTAAGCGACCATCACGCCTCTAAATGTCGGTTCGCTGATCGCATCGATAATTATAGCCATTATTTGTCATATCTAAATCGAATTTTATTTGAATTGAAGTAAAAATTTACCAAATTTCCCCAACATAAGTGATGATCGGTGATTCCATCAATCCTTAAAAAGTAAAATAGCGTGGTGTAACAAATGTAAGAGTGTAAAAATGGTCGAATTTCATAATCAGAAAGTTCAAAAGCACTCACCAGCACCTAGACCAAGTAAAATGCTGGCAATGAAAATATGAAAAGTGTTTGAGGCAGTATACATCATAAACCTTTAATTAAAATTAAAATCTCTATTATTAAAGACAATCAATTTTGATTTTGAAAAACACATTTTGTGACACTCCGTGTCAAACCTTGAAAAACGTTCGATTTTTTTTTCTTCATGGAATTAAGTTGAAAATGATTGATATTATAAAAAAACTCACCAGGCGATCACGAGTGGAACGTTCACGATCATCATCGCAAATTTTCGACCCAGTGCGTCTAAAAATTGGCGGAAGAAAAAAATGTGTGTTATCTTTCATTGAAGTCAATTCAGATATAATTTAATTGACATTTAATAAAAAAAAGTGCTTCATGTGCCTATACGAGGTGCGAAAACTTATCATTTATGCGTACCAGTGATAAGCGCTGAAAAAATACTTCCGCAAATTTCGAAAACAAACCCAATGCTTGCTAGTAATAAAAAAAAATCAAGAGACTCGTTTTAGTCAAAGTTTTTTTCTAATAATTTAGATTTTCAATCAAACCAATTCAATCAATCAGTCGAATAAATATTTTAGATGCATTTAAATTGGTTGATTTTGTTTAGTTTTTCAATTGAAATATTTACCCAACCAAGATGCCTCAACTGCCGTAACGGAGAGTGTTTCGTTTAAATTGTGTTTATTGGTTAGGCCGGTGAGAGCAGCTATAAAAAATAATAAAAATATAAAATAATAAATTAGAAAGACCTATTATTTAAACACGATTTAACTGACCTATGAAGGTCACTAACCTATTATTAAGAAGGGGAAAGCGTGACAACAGCCCATATCAAATAACAGCAAATTTTCGGCTGTTGTTGCGATAAACTATTCAAATGAACAAAATCAAATAGAATTCAATTTTTTACTGTTAAATCTGAAAAATATGACCTTGAGTCTGAAAGAATGTCATTTGGTCTGGCTCAGCCAGTCGTTCTTACATTCGGGTCGTTGTTTCAAAACAAAATCTCACCTGAGCGGCGAATCGCCGAAATTTGTCCACCTTTTCCCTCCCATCTCTCTTGCTTTGTTTCTCACTTTTTATATCGATCGACATTGTTCTCACTGTACAATGAAATAAACAGATTTATTACACAAAACTTGTTTATTGAATTAAAATCTCTATTATTAGAGCGTGAACAGCATTCCAGTTTATGAATTTGAATGATTGATGTGCGGCAAATTAGATTGATCACTATGTTGATTTGTTTAGAATGATAAAAGTTGGCTTTTAGTCTGGCGTTGAATGCCCAACAATGGATGGCATGACAATGAATCTTTGTTAAATCGGAAACGATTTTTTTTCTATTCTTTTGTTCGGTTTTGCGTTATCTGAAATTCCATTTTAATTGCATTTTTATCTGAAATATTTTCATTGCAGAACAATCTTGCACATCATGACATTTAAAACCGAACGCTTAGATACGTTTTAACGGCCATTTGATAAGATACATAGAAACATGTAAAAAAACATGTTAGGAAATTTGAACGTCAATCGTTTTATGGTCGCGGTTCGCCAAACCATAAACGTATGCAATAATTCCATATGGGATATTTGAAGAGAATAAATCGTAATTGAAATAAAGAGTCTTACGGGAGTAAGACGAACTTTTCCGCACGGTGGTAGTTGCGTATTTTATTAAGAAAGTTCAAAATAATATTTGCTCGATTCTTCAAGTCTTTCAAGCGGCGTAAAGTTCGAGACCAAAAAATATTTTTCAACTTTGGCAACGAAATATTCTTTAATTTAATAGCAGAAGTAGCCAAGAAAAGATTTTTCACACTTTCATGATGAACCCATTTGTACGACATTTGAAAGTATTCTATTTTCCAACAAAATACTATAAAAATATGTCTGACGTTAATTTTGCCATAAAGATTATTTTTGAAACACTTTTCATAACTAAAGTCACAACAAATTTGGATTTTTGTATGGGAGCCATGTCTGTATGCTACCTTAATGGCGTGAAACTTTGCACAGGTTATTTTTTTCACAAATAACATTCGGAGGGTTTGGAGAAATTTCAACCAAAATCAAGAGTACCTCCCATACAAAATATTCGTTTTTGAGCCAATTGAAAATTTTGTATGGGAGGTACCCCTTATTTTAATTGAAATCTCTTCAAATTTTCAGAATGTTATTTTTTTGTGTAAAAAATAGTCTGTGCAAAGTTTCACGTCATTAAGGTAGCATACAGGCATGGCTCCCATACAAAAATCCAAATTTTTTGTGATTTTTTCAAGGAAACTGTATTAAAAATTGATTGTATCTCAAAACTAACGTCGGATTCGGTTTTCTCGTGCCAAAAAACCCCCCAATACATATTTTTGAGTGTTTAAGTCTACATTAAGTATGACTTTTGGACGAAAATTGGACTCTTTTTCATAGGTATCACTCCAGGCATGGAATTTTTTTCCATCAACCAAAGTCGCTCAAAATCTGATGATTTCTATTCCTGGGGACCCCCAATCATCCCGTGAAGTCAGATTTTAAATAACTTTTCTGGGGGGTGAGATAATCGATGGACAAATTTTGCGTACGGCGGACAACGTACGACGTACGACGTACGACGTACGACGTACGACGTACGACGTGGAACAGACCCACAACAACCATGCTCAAAACGGCCTGATTCGGGTTCTCTGACCTCAGAAACGTCCAGAAAACATGTTTTTGAGATGTCGTAAATTTTGACCCATTACAATACTTTCCCCTTTCACACTATGTGTGTGCGGAAAAGTAACATCAATTTTGATTTAGATAGATAAGCACGTGATAGGTGCGTGAAAAAGGGAAGCCCAACTAAATGATTTGCCGTGTTGCGACGATGTTACACAATTTTTTCCATATCCTTGTTTTAAAACTATGCGTTGAACATGAAAGCATGATAAATACACGTGAAATATCTCCAAAATGAGACGTAATGAAAGAATGGGCTAACATTTTGTAGCCAACTTTATGTGGAAGCTCATGGACTTAAGGGTTTCGAACGGATCAATACACATATCCTCATCACATTTTACAAATTTCATGTGATTTGATTCTTATCTCTCTCACACTTGGTGGTGACGAAGACCCTTTTAAATGATTCTCTGATTGACGTGCTTATTATTATGAGTCTTGGCTTTTGAGTATGATTTTATAGTTCAATCGCTTTGAGTGCTCTTCGGCAAGGAGCTCTTCTTCCAATCTTTGGGCAAATATTAGAAAAAAAGAAAGAAAATGTGCAAGAAAGAATGCGCAAAAACGACGTATTCCAAGCAACGATTTTTTTTAGCATTGCTACATATTTTTTTTACAAACACTGACTGATTGCACTGTACATCACAATTTTTATGGTAAACAAATAACACTTGAGTAAAATAAACAAATGCTTACGCCATTTATTTTTGGATATAAATTTTGGTGCTATTATAGACATTCGGTGATTATTTGAAAAAAAAATCGTCGGATCAATGAACTTTTGCTAAAATTTCATTGAGTTCAGAATATTTTTTTATGAAATTTATGATGTGGGTGAAATTGCAAAAAGTGTTTCGATAAAAAAAAGAGATTAAAATCCAAATTAAATCTCATAAAATCCACACAATTACTCACAATTTTGATGAAAAGTATTTTTTTTTAAATTGTCGTTTTTTTTTCGAAGTCACTCGTGTCCAGTTGTTCCACTTCAAAGTGCTTCGAATGAAAAACAAAGCAAGACTAAATGTGTAAGTTTCGCGTCTCGTTGCAAATGTTGTCTTGCTCGCAAATTATTTCCAGTTGATTCCAGTTATTTTTGTAACAGCAAAAAAAAATATGATGCACTGCACTGTTTTGATTTTTATTGAGCGATCAATATTATTAATAAAACGAGACAAGTATTGATGATTTCAAAACAAACTCCTCTCTAGACTCTTATTATTTAAATTATCAAAGATTCCGATGATGAAACTTTATCCTATTGAGAACTAAACAATTAGTCGGAATACAATTATGATGCTACATAAACGCTTGAATCGTCACGTTGATTGGCAGAATATTTAGAAACCGTTGTAAATTTACTTTTCTTCTGATTTGCATTAAATTTCGCTGCGATATGAGAATTTACGCAAAATGCTGTACGGTTTGCAGAAAAATCCGTTTTTTTTTAAAGTTTATGCTATTTTGTTCATTAAATTAAATTCGATTCCAATTAAAGCAACACAATTTCAACAACAATTTATTTATCGATCAAAATGATTCAATTCAATTGAATTGGTATCAGTTCTGTTCTGATTTTAGTTTGTATTAACCCAGTTAATCAGCAATAATTTTAACGATCCGCACCAACGCACAGTTTACACTCGATTAAAATTGGGCTCATTTAAAATGGCCATTAATTTATAGAATAAAGTTTCACATTCAAAAAAAAAAATTTACGCAAAAAACAGTAAAAGTGACAATGAATCGAGAAAAAAAAACTGATAACGAGCAGGGGAAAAACAAGTATACAAAAGTGGGCATACAAAAATGGCACTACTTTGAAGGCCAAAACGAACGATAAATGTGAATGGGTTAAGACAAAAAAAAAACGCTGAAACGCCTTTAAATGAATATGCATGACAGCATCTCTGTTAGTGAGATTGACTAGACATTCAATTTGCCATGCACTTGACTATAAAAATAAGAGCCGTAATCGGTTCGTATACACCGAAAAAAAATGAGTTATGAAAATGGTCAACCGATGGTTTATGATAACGAATATTCAATTGGAATTGCCCTCTCAATGAGAAATTCTCACATTTACGGAAAGAGCACAGAAAGAGCTCTTACTTCACTTTCCTAATAAATAAATAAACAAATAAAAATAAGTTCTTCCCTAGTGAATCGAGCCCAGTGACAGTTCACTGACTTTTCACTGTTTGAGTCGAAGCCTGATCATGCCCGTAACTAACAACACCTCTAATGCGTATTCCGAGTACTAATCGAAGTTTGTGACAATATTGCCGTCAAATTTTGGCAAAATCATAATGAATCGATTAAAATGCGTTAAATTAATTCTCCTTCTAGGTCCAACATCGATCACTATCTACTAACTGGAAGATCCAGTTGAAATGTATCTAGACAATTTCTTATCGGTGTCTTCGTTATTTACATAAGGTTCGATGTATAAATATTAATTTATCACCCTAAAGATACGTTGCAATTCGTTGCTAAAGCCTAAACTCTATAAAAATATTGACGCAAAACACAGCGGTTCATTCAATAATAATTTTCGTAAGGTGTTGTTGATTAAAACCGGTTTCATTGAAAAGCGAACGTAAGTCGAATTAAAATTTAGCATCAAATGAATTTCATTCATGCCAAAACCACGCATTCTTCAATACAATTTCTAGTTATTTGAATAGAAGAAGAGAGTGAACAAAAAGTGATTTTTTTAGAGAAAACCGGAAGAGACAAAGTTTTGAGTATCAGTTCATGAACAGTCAATTAATTCCCATTGATGACATTGAAAAATGAAATTATTCAACAACTAACGAGTGAAGTACCTTTTACAATCGCATTCACCGTGTCATTTCTATATAGCTACTTAACAATCAATGGCCATTCATTGCATTGCACAATTGTTCGACGCAGAAACAATTGTTAATTTCTTTCAAACGCTAAAAAGGCGGTAATAAACGTCATTTGGGCTGTTTTTATAAGCAAAAAAGCGAAAATTTATTATACATTGTCACAAAAATATACTTAATCTAGCAAATTAAGTCTAGTCTACTTCAATTATCACAGTGAAATTCTAAAATAAAGCATTTTTTCTCTTTGCAACATAGTTGGTATCAGAATCATTCATTAAACTGCCATTGTTTTATCGGGCACCAAGTCGAAACGTGATCGACATAAAGGCGTTATTGTAGTTTTTCGAAAAAAAAATTGACTGAGAATTTTCTATTTTTTTCGTTTATTACACTCCCGCTTCAATTGGGCTTTAATCATTTTCAGAATTTTGATGGTGATTGAGTAAAAACCAATTTTTTTTAAACTTTAAGATCTTTCTCTTGAATCAAAATTCATTTACCATTCATTTGGTTAGCTCTAGACTATATTGCTTAAATTCAGTGTGTTCTAACTTTTCTCTGGAAATATATGATTAGCAATGCCATTGCCGTAGTTTATTCGCAACTCATCATTTTTAATGACTGAAATTTGTTTGAGTTGTATTTCAGCGTTGTTTTTATCATAGTCTTTTTGTTGTGTGCACATCGGTGCAATAATACGATCCGTGATTTTCTTCGAATTGTCGGCAAAATGTAACTCAATCTCTTCGAGTGTGCGATTTTCAGTTTCCGGTAAAATGTTATACATTAGTACCAAACCAAACGCAATTATAATGCAGTTGAAAAACGCAACACCGGGCAGTGAAAATGCTGTCTCCAAGTTGTAATAAGTTTTGATTGAAATGAAACTAAAAAATTGAAAAAAAAAAAAAATCAGAAAAGAGATTCAAATCGCTGTTGTTTTTATTTAATTAATACCTTAGCACATAGTTCAATGCAGCAGTAAGTCCTGTTGATATTGCTCTCGTTCTTTTTTGAAATTATTTAAAAATTGTAATAAAAAGTTGACATTTTGAAAAAAGTTCGAACTTAATTCGTTTCACATTGAAAGTAAAAAAAACGGGGAAAAAAGTCTGATTTTTATTAACTTACTTGTACGGGAATACCTCCGACAGCATTTGCCTGCAAGAATCAACATTTTGAATGAGATTTTCTCAAAGTTGAACATGACACAAACAGCAAATATGAAAATAATTTTTTTCAGTGAAATTACCATGGCATGATATTGACACCGCAGAACGAACAAAAACTCCAAATAAGAATGCAAACAAATGGAATGTATCCGTTTTCTTTGTTATCTAATGAAAACTTGGGCGATTCAAACGAATTATAGCCAGTAGGTAAAATCCAAAATCCATAGCCCGAAACGATGGCAGAGCACAAAAGCACGATCATAAGCATTGTGAGATACAATCTCCGTTTCCCAATGAATCGAATCAAGACCAAAAAGATGACATTCCCCAAATTATTTGCCCCCGCTAAATAAGCCGCCGCTTGATCTTCTTGCATTGGGATGTCGTATGCTTTGAATATCTTAACGATAAATGGTGTCATTGCAAATATGCCAGAAAATAGTGCAATCATGAATAAGCAAATGACAATGAAGAATGGCTTGAGCGTTTGTTTTCGTTTGAGCTCTTTCAATTTTTCAAAGAGAGTCGGTGGCGGATGATAACATTCTTGATTTTGTTTGATACATTCACCGCATGATTTGTAACGTTCTGAATAACGTTGCAACGACCGAAGCTCATCAGCTACTGCCTCTTTTGGCACCCATCCACGCAGCCAGGCTAACTAAAACGCACCATGATTGTGAAGAGAATAAAAAATCATATTGCAATAAAAAAATGAATTTACCGATTTTTCTGCCTCATTTACACGATTTTTAGAAAGTAACCAATGGGGTGTCTCTGGCACAAACAAAAGAGCAATTGCAGTCAAAATGGGTAACGTCATACAAATTAAGGCAACCTAATTGACGATTAATTATTAATCAAACCAATATTTCAAAATTTTGTAAAAAGATATAAACAACATGCAAACAATAAACGAAGAAATAAATTTACCATACGCCAAGGCATCAATGTATTCAACACCGAAACAAAAAGCATTCCAAGCGTCCATCCGACGTGGGTATATGCGATCTGGTTTAAAAAGAGGAAAAAACAACACACATTTTAGAAGAAAATCAATCACCAAAAAAAAAAAGAAATTACCATTATCCCTCTGAATTTCGGCTCACTGCGATTTTACGATTTTAAGAATGATAAATGACATAATATTTTATCGAAATGGAAAAATATTTTAGAAGGCAAAAAAAGACATACCAAACTTCGGCCACATATAATATAACCGGCGATTCCATAAGCCCAGCACCGAGGCCCAGCAATCTTTTAATGAAAAGAATGGATTAAATGGATTTTTTTTATATTTCTATTAATTCCTAAAGGATTTCTTACGAATTGGCCACAAAAATGTCCGAAACGCTGCTTGCGTTGTACATCATGAACCTACAAAAATTTTATTTTGAAAAACAAATTTATTTATTGCGAAAGGTACCTCGTGTCAAACCTTAAAAAAATGTCGATTTTTTTTGATGGAGTTGAAAATTATTGATTTAAAAAACTCACCATCCAATTACAATCGGTATATTCACGATCATCATGGACGTTTTTCGTCCCAATACGTCTGTAAATAATGCTGATAAAATGCTAAAAAAATAAAAAAATATTTACATTTTTATATTTATATATCCATTTTTTTATATACCTTCCAATAGGCTCAGTTACGTAACCGATACTACCCATCCAACTGGCCTGAACTGATGAGAAGAACAGTTTTTCATCAAGATTATGACGATTTTTACTCTTTCCCGTGTTATCCAATGCAGCTATCACCAAAAATGGGAAAAAATTGCACAGACCCATATCAAATTGCAGCATATTTTCGACGGTGGTGGCCACAAACTATTGAGCAAATAGCAAATTGATTGCTTTAATTTACCAAATTTTAACGAAGCAAAGATGATTTTTTTTTTTTTTTGAATATTTTGAAGGAAATTTGAATACGCTTTGAGACAATAATATTGAAAATAAACAATCGATTTCCCATCATAATAACATCATTTTTCCCGACTTGCGTCTTTTTGTCGTCCCTTTTTTACACATTATATTGCATTCATATTCATACATATTATCAAGCTGAAACAAATCGACACAAGACGCAAAGTATGCGGCAACATTTTAATGCTATCGTCAGCTCTTCCGTCAATGTATATTTTTAAAATAAGTATGTAAATTACATATTCACTCATCAGACTGATGTTGCTCGTTATTTTTTTGTTTTGTTTTGTTTTAAATGATGCCAGTGATGCACACAAACGTTTTAAAATACGCAATTTCCTTGACAATTGACTCGTTGATTGATTCAAGTGCACAACTTGCCAAGTGCAAAAGACTGAGAGTGAACGACTTTTTTTCAAATGTTTCGTATCACATGTTCGAATGAAAAAGCAACTTTTTGATGTTGAGAACATGAGACGGGAGGAATCGTTTTAAATTATTTCTCCTTATGACGCTCTCCCCTCGTCGACGGCCTCTCCTGTCAAAAATAATCTTATATCATTTGGATTTGAATTGCATATGTTAACGACAGCAGATGAAAATTATTTTCAATTCATTGAATTATTCTTCCTCGTTGCACTCAAGGTTTGATGGTTGAAAATTTTGTCTCAAATTTTATTCAATTTTAAATGCAAATAAGTTCGAAATGAAAAGCACCTGCCTGTGACAAATACCGTCGAAAATAATTGACATTTTTCATGCTGTTTATCTCACTATCCGAATCACATGACATTTTGTCAATTGTTTTAATAAATATCAATCAAGTTTTAAATCAGTAATAAATCATCCAAATAACACTTCATAAATTCATCAAACGTCGAACACAATAATAGTACACTGTCATCTGATTAATAAATGCGCAAAATCAATCATCATGCATTTTCTAAATTTACATCACTTTGTCACATTTGGATTTGACTCAATTGATGTGAGTATGCAACGTTGAAATTATTGTTTATGACAATAAAAAATAATATTTATTTATATGGCACTTTTTCTATCGGTGTGTTCCACAGGCTTTTGTCGATTTTAAATTAAAACCCTACTTTGAATCAACTAATTAAATGAAAAGCATAATCGCAACCGTTCAACATCTAACTGATTTGTTGCAAAATCTTTTGTATCCTTTTATACGGTTTATGTAGCCACAATTCGGCCCAACATTCGTTC